TCAGCAGGATTGTATGCTGTGACTAACTTTCAGTTCATGCTCTTTTGTGCTTCTTGGGGCTAAAGATGAAAGAGATGACTGCAAATGTCATTTGTTGGGTTCTATCTTGCAGCCCTACACCAATCCGAAGTATTAGTTCTGTAAATCTTGTGGAAAAAGGTGATGTTGTCCTCCCACCACCAGACTACCTGGGGTCTTTGCAAACAGAGAAGAGAATGGAGCCTTCCAAAGGTGCTGCTGTTAAAACACCTACTGACAGACCAGAAAACGCTGGCCCGGTAAGTGATCAATACCACAAATCCAAACATTCCCCCCTGCTTACTTTTCTTGACCTACTTAGCTGAGCTCTTAAACAAGGCTCTGGAATGTTCTACCTTAGCTACTTGTACTTGACTTCAGTGGCCCTTTGCTGCGGCTGTCTTCAGGAGTGTCATAGGGTTTTGGTATTCCAGTCCATCTGTAGTAACAGGAAAGGAGAAGAAGTGTTCAGGGATATAAGAGTACTAGGAGACTTACCCTGCATAGCAAACTTTTCGGGAATGGAATTTGTTGAACGTGGAAATAAATTCTCACAGAAAATAGCACAGATTAAATAGTACAGAAGTGATTTTTATCCAATGTCAGATTTTATACATTGGTTCCTATAGCTGGTTGCTGAGATCTCTGTGGGATCAACATGTCCTTCAAATGCAATTATGTTCACAACAGTCAAAAGACGTCAGTCCATGGAAGCTGCTAAGCAAGCAGTTGAGTGAGTTCTCTGCCCTGTGACAAGTTGACTTTAGAGCTTAAAACTTATTGCATCTGTTGAACTGCCTCTGTGTCACCATGCTGTGTTGTTGTTGCTATGGATAACTATCCTCGGTCTCAAGAGTGGTCACCATAAGTGTTGCTTTGTTTGTTCTGTGGCATTAGTTCAGGGGTTTGGGGAATAAACATAGGACGTGGACTAATGTTCCTGTTGAACTGAAAAACCAAGGGGAATGGCAAAGCATTTAGTTGACAGACTAGGACAGAGTTCTAATTAGAAAAGTGTATTCTCTTCGGAGGCCAGAATGGAAGCTTACAGCATTTCCAAGGTGGAAAACAAATGCACTTTTTTTGAGATTCTGAATTTCCACAGGAAAAGCAAAATTTAAAAAAAGGAATTCCAAACTATAAATTAATACCTGCTTTTGTTGAGATACCCTTTTACTGTGTGATTCTTCTTACCTGTTACCATACCAAATAAAGAAGAAAAGTGTAGAGGAGAGCAGCTGCACTTGTACCTCAGTGTTCTGCTCCAAAGTCACTATTTATTTTCCTTCTTCCGGAACTCCCCAGAGCTTCCTTGTCTTTCCTGCTTCCATGCAAGACGCCATCCCCCACACCACTGCAAGGCTTGGAAATAAGCTCATTATACCAGGCAGGCCTTTAGGCTTGTACTGAACTGACATATGTGTAAAGCTGTATACTTACAGTGTCAGTTATGCAGAAGCAGGATTCCTTGAGGCATCTGATTTTTGTTTCAGAATAGACAGGAAAAAATAGCTCAGGATTTCAAGAAGGAAAGATGAGTAATGGCTCTTGCAAGTTAAATTGTTCATGCTCTCTTATGTAGGACAGTCCTATGCAGAATAGTATCAACTAAAAAAGACTTAGTAGTTGACAGGGGTTGGAGTTCAGTGAGAAGTAGCATGTACTTCAGGCATTTGTTCATTCTAATTAGCTTCAGGGCTAATTAGGCCTAATTCTAAGGTCTAAGTCTATTCCTGACCGACGTACGTGAGCAATTTCATTGGAATCACAAGTCAAGCACATGGTTAAGAACTCTGCTGAATTAGGTCCTGATTAGAGATTTCTTCACGTGTATCATGGTATCATGAATGTGGTAGCTAGAAGCTACTGGTACAATAGACAGTGTGCCTGAAAAGGAAAGGCCCACAGGCCTTTACTCAGTAGTGAAATTTTAACTCTTAAACCCAAAGTGGCCACAAAGACTGAATGATTAGTACAAGTCAAGCTGTTGCATAAAAGGTGGCTGCATATTCCTGCTTCTACATGCAAGAAAGTATATTCAAATTTTCACCTTGAACTGTATCTGACACCTATTAGAAGCAATGCAATTAGTTCGCAGTTTAAAATACATCATTAAGTATGACTATTACTAAAAGTTGGGGGGGCGGGGGGTAATAGAAATTAACTGTTTGCCCAAACTTCCATGTAGAACGGGCTTACACAGGGTAATACAACAGGTTTCCATTTTATCACAGCTGAAACACTGGGTCCTGTAGCAGCATGGTGACAGCGATGCTGCATCTTTGGGTTGTCTTGACTTCACAAGAACGAAGCACACTTCATACACAAGTACAGGGCAGGCTGTAGCTATAACAACAAGGCTTTTCAGATTGTACACTTAAACATGACAGCTTCATTAGAATGAAATATTAGCAACAGCTATGCAAAACCATGCTACTGCTCCCATACAATGTAAATTCTACATGTACTACCAGCAGCTGTTTTCTTGCCTTTTTATTACTCACCACTGCTACTTGAAGAAGTCACAGGAGATACCTGAACTTGTACTTTGTGAATCCACAATAGCTGAACACAGGATCTTGTACAAACACCCTCTAGAACAGAAATCTGCCCTCACTCCACGCTTTTGCACTTAAATATGTTATTATGCTGGCTGCTGCCTCTTTTAACTTCATGGCTTTTCACCTCTATGAAGACTCACTGACTGTATTTGCTTGGTAACATCTGCACCAAGCCTGGTTTTGGTGTTTTACTGCAACAACTGCGTTTTATAAATGATGTTATAGGAACAGTATGGTGTATTTGTGCTGCAGGGAGTTCTGTCCTTTTTCCTTTGGTTGATGGCTATTGTAGTGACATTTCACTTGCTGTTTTAACCTAGAAAATGCCCAGTGAGCCTTCAGGTGATCACTGATCATAAACCTCAGGGGGCTGGGGGAGATACCACACATAATAAAAAGCCAGATAGTGCCAATACCATTTTTTTACCTTTCTAATTTTGATGCTCTGAGAATTGTCCCCTCCCCAGTTCAACTGAACTACACAATAATTATTCTAAATGTTTTAGGTGCTTGAATGACAAGGGTTTCTTCCTTAGCAGGATAGTGAGATCACCTCTAGCATGGTTTTTGTACATCTGTGTAAATACCACCTTCTTCTTTTACAGAAACCTGACATGAATGGCATTATAAAACCACCTTTTCTAAGGTATATTTTTTTAAAGCTTTTAATTTAATTTAGTTGTGTTGAGTTTTATACTGACTTACTGTATTGTATTGATTGTGAGGGAAAATAAGGATGTTTTTGCCAAATCACTGTGACCTTTCCTAGGCATTGGTAAAACATTAAGCTATAATTGGTTGCACCAATTAGAATACATCAAGTAAAATACAATGTATAGGCCCTTCTGAGAAAAATCAGTGTTTCTGCAGTAGTTTGACAGAGAACGGGACTTAAACTGTCTCTGAGGGTTAAAAATCTTTCCAAACTGGGAGCTGTTTAAAAAAAACAAAAGTCCAGATCTAACTGGGCATTAACTTCCCACATTTTGATCACTGCAAAGTGAGCCTTCGTATGTAAGTTTGTTCTTAAAATTCAAGTTAAAAAGAGTTACCTGGAATCCTTTAGTCTAAAACCGTAACTTAAGTCTTCAGACACTGTGGATGAAGAAACAGCGTGGCTTAAACGTGGGGTTGTGTTGCAGCAAACCTTCTAGTAACTGTGTGCATTTCTTTTCAGTGGAGAAAATCCTTTTGCAACTGTGAAACTCAGACCAACAGTAACAAATGACAGATCAGCACCGATTATCCGATGAATGTACAGTCCATGCACGTGTGCTTCCTCCTTAGAAACACCATTTTCAGTAATAATTACTATCTAAACTTGTTCCAAGAATTTATTTAAATGTAATTACTGTACATTAGAAGCAACCTGGAATGGATTTCTGATTTATTTTTTAAACCTGTACTTTCTAATGAGGTAACTGCTTTGGGCTAATGTTTGAGCACTTTGGCTTGATTTTACAGTATGCCTTTTTGTAGTAGGAATTGTGAAAATACTGGGGCTAGTTTGGATTCTCTAATGAACCAGTGTAACTAATAGCTCACAGATCTGATTCTTTGGCGTTCGTTATTTGGAAACTGCAATGGTAAGTACTAGAACACAAGCCTGCATATGCCACTTACTAAATAAGAAAAAGACGATTTCCCTTCGCCCCCAACAGAACAATGTAACAACTGCCTTATTCTGGAATAGAGAATTGCCTGTATAAAGTGATGATTCATTATTTTGTTTAAGAAAGACACCTTAGGTTATAAATAAATATTTATCCTGTAAGAATAGACAGTTTGTAATGCTTTGCTTAATGTTCAGATACAAATTTTCAAGTGTTAACATCAACCCATTTTAAGTCTGATGTTGTACTGTCAACACATTCTTCAATGGTAATTTTTTTCTTTAAAACATGTTGTCAAACTTCAGTCTTATAAAGAGTCATAATAAAACAGTGCCATGTTTTTTCTCTCAAATGCTGATATAAGAAGATGCCTTTGAAGTTACTCCATTACTGAGTCTTTCACAAAAGAAAAACAGATGAAGTCTGAAAATCGTTGAAGGAGCCCAGCACAAATGCTGGTGTAGTGCAGGGTCTGAGGTGAGTGAAATATACCTTCTAACTTCCCTTATAAGCAGAGTTGTTACCTGGGGCTCAGATTCTCTAAATCCAATGGAGCTAGCTTGTCTAAAAAGCTTCCTACATTAATAATCATCTCAGAAATTAGCCTGGAATGTTAAAACCTGACTCCTCACTCTGCATCAGCATTTGGTGCTTTACAGGTACAGGTCAGGTATTTCCCACCCTGAATTCTGTGTTGTGACTACTGCCAGTCATCAGTCCTTACTTTCAATTATTCTACTTCACATATGTACATGCTTCCTACAGCATCCCAAGGCTAATGCATGTGGTGGTGTCTGCTTCTACTATAAACTGTGAATTCAAGTCATGTGAAATGCCTTTCAGTTACTTAATGTCAAAAAATAGTATATGAGCATGTGATGGCTGAAGAGGTAGAGTCCACTCATTCCACCTCCTCCTCTCACACAGCCTTTCAAGTGCAAGGCTAAGGACACTTCATATGCTGTGTGGAACCTTGCAAAAATATCTATTAATTATCCCCTTTTGACACACCAACTTTTCAGCAGAGTGAATTTACACCCGTGCCCAATTTCTAAAGCATATTAGAGGCAAGTCAACCTTATACCTGACTGTGTAAGCTTTCAGTAATTCAGTATCAGAATTAGATTATCTGGAATGCAAAAATCTACTCAGGGCAGCTCGTACCTGGCAGTGCTGCAGCTTCTCTACCATTGTCTGTCAACTATCCACCAGCTGTAGCAGGTAGGACACTGCCATTGTGTGATGCAAGACCTTCACTAATGAAAACAGGGCTCTGTTACTGCTAAAGGAGGTACATTAGCATAGTAGTAGCACACAAAGCACTTGAAACAGTTTACTCAAAAACATCTGATTTGTTTAAACAAGCACAGCCCTAAACCATAGTTTTGGAGGTTTTTTTAAAGATTCTGGCAATTATTTATCCTTCTTTGTAGCTAGGATTACTAACTCCACTTTCTGACTACATGTTATCAGACACATTAGTCATATACTTAATAACCCAGCCACAAATTGAGGATTGCAAAAGGAAAAGCAGTTTTATTTAGTTTTCAACAGGTGCCACTAAACATGGAAAACAAGTTGGGTTTTCATGTTTTGCGATGCACATGCTCATAAAAGATTGTTTAAATTACATGCAAGAGACTAAATTTCTTCACACTTTACAAAACAGGTCTGAAGCAAATAAAATGATTGTACATGACATTTACATTAGAAAGAGTATGCTAACAGTTGTAGCTTCCATAAGCATGTCCACGTTCATCCCATTAACCAAAAGCTGCCCCACAATTAGGGCATCTTCTCTGCCTCAGTGCAAGACAGAACAGAATCCCAATTGGAAAGAATACAATGGCACACAGAACACCAAGACAGGTGAAGGTGTCCTCCAACACGCCAACCCTGCAAAAAGGGAAAACAGACTCAGTCAAGGACACCCACCAAGTTTGCCCCAAAGTTACCACCTTGTGATCACTAAAAACCACACCATTTTACATAGCGAGATAATGTACAAAGAGGTTTGGAGGGAGGTTCTCCTTTAAAAGGCCTTTATTTTCACAGCTTGCAGCAGCAGGTTTTGAATTAGACCACATAAAGAAAAACAGGAAAATTGCAAGTGATCAGACTGTAGATAACAAGTCTAAGAGGTTTAATTCAAACTAGCTAATGCTTAGTTCCAGACAACAACCATTTCTCTACCACTGCAACCAGGACTGGTATTTTGACCAGAACAGTCACTACACCTTGGACCACTTGTATCAACTCCAAGTACTGGTTAATGCAGGTACAGTGA